AAAAAAAAAAAAAAAAAAAAAAAAAAAAAAAAAAATGATTAAGGCAATTTTGCAATTATCAAAATGACGTGTCAATGTGGCAGAACCGATACTTGATTGTATCAGTATATAACATTTATTATATAAAAAATATTATGTACAAAGTCCCTCGCAAAGAAGACATATAGCTATGAGAATTTTGAAACAATAGGAAGAACAAAGATAAAAAAAACGAAAATTCAATTGTTAACGTTGTACAATAATTTATAATGAATCTGCTTGATGAAATCCTCATTCCCGGAAGTGAGAAGTATCGGCCAGCATTCCGGATTTTCTCTCACGTGTCGGTGCAGTGATTTTCGCCATTTGTAAGATTTCGAACAAGCCAGGCAGATGTTGAAGTCTGGAAAAGAAAAATTGTGATTGCGTTAGTGAGAAATTCATTGAATCACAAATTTGTATCTTGTCCGGATAGGTCATCGTGCAGAACTACTGTTATTCGTGTGTTTCTCGTTGAATCGATAATTGATCGAGTGAGACAAAAAATTGTTATATAAAAGAAATATCTTATGGTGGTTCACTGCCACCTTTATTTACATACAGAAATATTCTTCTCGTGCTTATACGTGTAACTTCGGGTGCAATAAAGTTATGGAGAATCGTGCGAAGGATGTTTGAATTACTTTACAATATTTTTACAAAGTAATGAAAATTTTGCAGATTTACATGGTCCTTGGCATATGCATTTTTCTTATGTGTTTCAATAAATTGCAGTGCAACTTTGTTTTCATGGGACAGTATGGACATTGGTACTTCGGTGCTTGGCCACATTCATCTCTCAGGTGACGTGACAGGGTACTTAGGTACATGTACACGTTTCCACACATCTTGCATACGTGTACTTGACTTCTGGTCAAACAGCCTGAAAATAAAAAGAAGAAATACTACCCATTGTCCAATGGCTGTTATAATTATAATGGCTAACTGTGGCTATTGGTTTTGCTTTCTGATTTTGGTTATTTTTATTGTTAATTCATTATTCACAATTTTATGACAGAATGATAGAAGGAGAAAAAATTAAATAATAAAACAGGCGAGCAACTCGTTGCATTACAAAGTTTGGATGTTTTATATATATATATATTTTTTTTTTTGAAATAAATAATTTTGTAACAGCAACAGAAGAAGAAGATTGACAGGCGGTTGGATTTGCGTAGGTGAAATTTATTGAGTTCCTTTCTCCTCAAAACTTTAAGGTAAATCTACGTTAAACTTTACACTCGTGATATAATTACAGAAAGATGACGAGTACCTGAAAATAATTAATAAATTAGCACAAATAAAGTATACAATGGAACCCACAGCCTGTCTGAACGATAATTGAATAGACGTCGCGACGCTAAAGTGCGTTTAATCATTTTACATTTTATTACTGATATTATGAAAATACAGGTATTATAAATACTACATATGCGCGAGTTTCTCGCGACTCTAAGATTGTAAAGTAACGAAAAGTCACGTTAAAAAGAAAATTATTGAACGTGTAATTAAAAACAAGGCACACTAAAAAAAGAGCAGTCTAAAGAAACATGCATTAGCGCATAGCCAAGAATCGTGTGACGAAATCGTCATAAGATTCGAAATACGTATAAAATTTCAAAAAAAAAGAAGTTTCATCAAAAATGTCATTGATATATCGAGCACATTCTCGAGGATATTAGGAAACAGCATAATGATAAGGAGAACATGTGATAAAAGCATAAGATTCAAATGTCCAGAAAATCTTCAAAGAATTGTTTACGTTCCAAACGCAAAGATGTCAAATCTTTCACAAAGCGCTCGAGCCTTCTTCGCGATGACGTTTAGCCAATTGATTCAAGTATTAGACGATGGTGTCTTGAAGTGTTGCTCAGCCTGATGCGCGTGGAGAATGAAGGCCTTGAATGCAGCGAATGGGCACAGGGTGCACTTGAATTGGGGTGGTTCGCACTTGTGCTTCAGATAGTTGCTCCACATCTTGTAGAATTTGCTGCACTTGGTGCAAGTGTAGCCGAGCAACTGATCACCCATGTACATCTTACGGTAGGCTGAAACAGAACGATTGACGTTAGATTCTACATGGGGTTTGTGAATGTCTTGTAATAACCTTAAAAGAGAGAGAGAAAGAAGAGAAGAGAAATAAAAAAAGATCAAGTCATTCTTTACGCGCACTCCGTTATTAAGCACTGTGCATACAAATATTTTTACTACGAGGACATAGGGAGGCTGCGAGTTGATATCCTGAGGAATCTGAAAAAAAAAATAAAAGTGGGAACAGGATTCTCTTGATACAAAGATACATCAACAGTGTACATAAACCAAGATAACTATAGGTACGAATTATATTTATTTTCGCTATTCAAGATCAATTTCTTTATATTTAAAAAAAAATGTATTTTTATATTATTTACATTTTAAGCTGTCTCTTCTAACTCTTCGTCAGCCTCCTCGCTGACGTTCTTCTTTTTCAATGTAGCAATTTGCATTCTCTTCTTTTCCAAACTGCTGTGCATTATGTGTCTTGGTGCTTTTAGGTGTCTCACGAAATTTCCTTTGTATCCTGTACGATAGTTACAAAGATTGCAGACGAATCTTTTCTTATTTTTAGGTCCACACTCGATGGTCCTGTGTCTGGACAAAGAAGAGGCCCACAGGTAGTACTTGCCGCAGTCCCAACACGAGTATACGCCATCTTTGGATACGTATTTTTGCAACTCGCGAAATCGTGGCTTGTACTTCGCCACAGCATCTTCCTGGACCATATCTTCGTCGTCGCGAGGAGACGACGTCGAAGAGCCTGGATTCTCTATGGAATCTTTTATGATTTCTTCTTCGCTGTTGATCTCTTCGGTTTGCTCAAGTAATATCTTCCTCTCTTGACATTCCCTACGGTGTCTGCTCAAGGACGTAGCCCAGGCGTACGTCTTCCCGCAGGCCTCGCACTCGTAGGTCGGATCCTTCAGGGTGAGAATATGATTTTCATTGGACTTCAATATAATTTCACCCTCCTTCGACACCTCGAATAATTCCGAAATTCCCTTGACGTTCGTTATCGGCGTTTTGATAACTTTGACAAAACTTTCTTTAGACATCTGCTCCTCCTCGTCATTCGTCAAGCACTCGTCATCGTCTTCGAAATTCTCCACAAGGTATTCTGAAACAAACAATACAAGAAATGCCAATTAAAACACCCGTTCCTATGAGATACCTAATGAGAATCGAATTCATGTAAATTCTCAACCTCCTGATCACCTGCCGAATGTTAATAAAGGCAGGCACGAGAATTAGGATAAAAAGTAATTTATAATCCTGTAAAATGAAACAAAGGCTTTTTAAGTTATAACTTTTGTACGTTTATTTCTTTTTTTCATTGGTAAAATGAACGCGTACACAGCACCGAGTAAAAGTTGCGATAGCAAAATGCGGATGGAGGACAGAGAAAAAATGATAAGAAAAAAAAATTCATTGATCAAGATTCGATATGAATCAGCGTTATCCTTAAGTACGAGATAAAAAAAAAATCTCAGGGAAACCTAGCTCGCCTCGAGGTAAGGCCACGTAAATTTTTGCAGCCGTCTTACGAGTTTGTCAAAATAAAAAAAAAATTAATTTTGTTGTAACCGAAAGTTTTGGATGTCTGCAAATATTTTGTCGTGCTATTATATATGTTTTTTTTTTTGATCTTTTACGATAGCGATTTTGCATAACACACTACCACATGGCTCATAGGTTTGTGCCTAAAACTGATAAACTCGTTTCTTGAAAGTCCACTTGGATAAAAATATCATCCACTTCACTATGAAGTCTCAATGGTATTGCTTATTAGCGAAGGCGTGATGTTTCCTCTTGTGATTCTCGACACACCACTTGTGCGAGCTCTTGTACGGGCACAGCTCGCAGGTGAATTTAGGCCGTGAATTGATGCATTCGAATTTACGATGTCTCCAGAGTGACCTTTGAGCCGCATAAGACTTCCCACAGTCCGTGCAGCGAAACATCCGTCCTGGGACGTCACGACTGACACGTGTCCTGTTCCGCTGGATAATAACGTTGCTGGCATCGAGTCCGAACATGGCTTTGTACGACCAGGACGCTGAAACAGCAGGAAAGAAAAGGATTATAGAATTGGGGAAAAAGAATGATAAGAATAAAGAAAGAGAGTGGTGGAGAGAGGGAGATAAGATACAATTAAAAGAAGACAAAAAATGAATTAAGGAGTAAACAAAAATTTTCTAAGACAAACGTCCAAAATATACGTAACGTTATATTCCTTTTTTGATTACATTCGTTCGTTCTCAATCTTTTGATTTTTTTTTAATTCTTTCCCCTTTTTTTCCCCCGCTTCAATTACGACGTTCCTGAATCCAAATTTTTTTTTTTTTTTTTAATAGACAATGCGAGCACGATTTCTATTTTGAAATTCTATTTGGCAAGTCGTTAGTCGTAATGCAATCTCGTACTGGATTACTGCTTCTCGTCGCTGCTCACGTTGTGGAAGGTTTTCATGTGACGACGGACGCAGAACGTGTAGTTGCTGCGAAAGTTACAGAGCTCACAATGGAATTTCATCGCACCAGCGTCGTGGACGTTTCTCACGTGTCTCTCCATGTTGGCTTTGTACATGCTTTTGTAGGGGCAGAATGTACACGCGAATTGTGCACTCTTCGGTATCATCTCGCAGGAATATTGCATGTGGCGTTTCAGAAGGTTCTTCAGCAGATAGACTTTCTTGCAGTAGCTACAGACGTGTCTCTTGTAGCTGGGTTCAACTGTTATCGATTTATTGTCCAGAGGTTTGAAATCTGCTATTTCCATACTGCCTACCGCCTGAACGGATCCTTCTGCTTCTGCGTTCTCCGTTGAACCGTAGTTGTGCAAGTATCCTCTGACGTTCCATCCGTGAATCTCTGGAACACAATGCAGTTAAGGATGAATTCGGGTTCACTGGTTGTTACGATTTTTTTGAAAATCTTTATACCGTTATTCTTGCTATTATTTTGGGAAACGTACTACGTTGGCCTGGGATCGTTTTCGAAAATATTCCAGATAATTGGAACGCCGGGTTTCGTGTCAACTGCGTTTGTTAGGTTTTGTTTGGAAGTTCGTCGTGTCATGATGGTTAAACATATTGCTGTTTTTTTTTTAGTTATGAAAATGAAAGTTAATTTTGAGTTTGAGTTCGTAAAATTGTAAGGGGTGCATTGTCTTCGTGGTAATTGTGCAATGATTACGTGTATACCCTGAAGCAAAACAAAATCGTGCACATATTACAATTTTTGTGTACGTGAGACGGATTTATTGGAAAAAATTCCAATGATCCTCTTCAGAATTTGATATCTGAAATCCAAAAAAAAAAAGGAAACAAAGAAAGTTAGTACAAGCCGATTTAGCGTAAAATGACAAATCAAAGATGATTGCAGGATGAAAAGTTTTGAAAGTGCTTGCTGTCGAAGCAACGAAAATTTATTCATCGTATTTTTTTTTTTTTTTTTTTTTCGTTACAATACAAAATAATCTTTTATGCTCTTTATCCTTCGCCGATTTAATTTCCGGTTCACGATAAAAAGGCCCACAAAAATTTGATCCATACAGAATTTTGAAAAATCAATTTATCATACCACTCAAGAAGTTTTCAAAAATTCCCACCGGCATCTTCAAAATGCCTGTCTTCAATTGCAAAGCGAATTTACTGTCTCTTCGACGGTCGACATATATTGTGATTTTGACGAAGATGCCGATGTAGACTGAAATTTTGCGTGAAGCGTGTCTCGCAGATGTGACAAGAGAATTTCCTCTGTCCTCCACATTCGTACTTGAGATGTTTATAGAGACTGGTTTTTCGTTTGTATTTTCTACAACACTGCGGACACTGCAGAGGCAGATCCTGCACGTTAAGATGAATCGCGAGTCCATTTCCCGGCAGAGGCTCGAAGGGGTAGTTGAAGAATTCTAAAAAAAAAAAATACCATTGTTAGTTAAAATCAGGAGAACAGCCTCCCAACATAAAATGCGACCGTAGAGTGTTTTGCCTATTCTGAAAATAAAAATGATAAATTAATCAATATCACTAGTAATGTTTATTTCCACTGTTCTTATTGAGAATCAAGAATTGGAAATGGATTAAATTAGTTGAGGAATAAAAGTTTCCCACGGATCGTATCGCCTTCTTGTAGAAGCATCTTTTTATTATTTCTTTGTGCAAAAATAAATATTCATCATATACCTTATTTGTCACCAGGATGATCCAGATCAAATTTATAAAATACGATTGCAGATTTATAAACACTGCTTGTAATTGATACATTGAACTTTGTTTCATTTTTGTATTTTTACACTTGAAATGAAAACCCAAAATTTTGAGTAGATAGCAGAATATCGGATTTTATTTCTTCTGTGTTATCAATGATTCGCCAATTTTTCGGAAATTTTGTGCGTAATTATTCAACAATATTGTTATACAATTACTCTGTTGAACACAGAAAATTGAGCTGGTCACTTTTGCTATTGAAGATAAATTAATTAAAATTAAGATAAAAAAATAAACGTATCTCTTTGATTTGTCAAAGTGACGTGTCGAATGTATCGTTCAACAATATTATTACACAAAAATGCGTTTAGGTACAGAAAATTTGGGTGGTCGATAGACGTTATGTTCCTGAAGCAGATGTCTTCGTAAACTAACATTATGTTTGTACCGTGCGGCACATATGTAACAAATAAGTTTTTTCTGTGCACCACAATCAAACTTGATATGTTTCGTAAGACTTTCCTTCGTTTTGTGAATATTACCGCAATGAGGACAGATCAGTGGTATTCCAGGATTCAATAAAAAATTCGAATTTCTTCCAGCTGGTAGAAAATCCATAAAGCACACCTGGAATGTTTCTGAAAACAAAAGAAGAATATGGAAAACCATTTGTAAGAATTTTTGTGACAAAAAAAAAACAAAAACAAAAAAAAACAAATATCGATCAGCACCATAACAAGTTACCACGCAATCCACTATTTTATTGACTTTCAACATGACGATACTTATACAATCATTATAAACTTGGACAACGATACTGAATAAATAATTGTTATTGATAAATTTGGAGGAAAAGGAAAATTTGCGTGAAACATCTAATTAATTGATACATACTATATCTGTGAATATATTAGGTTAATACTTGTGGTATTAATGACATATTCGAAAATGCCTGTCGAGATTACTTTTCTGGGCAAACCTAACGTGACAGACTGGACAAGCAAATTTTGGCTCCACGCCGCATTCCAAATTCTGATGACGCCATAATGACGTCAAAAATTTATAGGAACGATCGCATCTGTTGCACTCGTGATCTTTTGACTTCTTGGCCAAGGATTCGTTTCTCTTCGACGTCCGGGACGACTGCCCGCTGCACTCCAAGGACCTGTGACGTGTCAAGGATGCGGCAAGTGCAAAAGTCCTGCCGCAATCCGCGCAACGATACTTTCGTGGGCCCCAACCGCGCTTTTTCGATTCCTCCTTATCCGATAAGGATTCGTCCTTACTCATCGAACGACGTTGACGTAAATAATGATCCTCACGAGAGGTCGATGGCAAGGTGGCCACGGTCCAATTGGCCGGACTGTAATATTGACCTGTAAAATAAAAAAAGCGGAAAGATTTTTTTTAGTTGACAAAAATACTCACAACAATCAATCGCAGAAATACTTGTCGAATAAAATGTGTCTATTAAATTTTTCTTTTGCTCGAAGAAGGATGATCTTGCATGATTACGTTCTAAAATACACTATACATAACACAGAGCACGTATTCGATTGTGTCGTAACTCCATACGGCACCCGTAAATCGACGAGGCGAAAATTCTAAAGAAGGAATGGATTTGGACAAAAGAATTGCACTGTTTAATTTCCAGGTACTTTTCCTTTTTCTTTTCTTTCTTTCTCTTGCCTCCTTACGTACAATACACAGACGTACTAAAGATCGTGAGTAACATCCGTGTACGAAGGAAAAATGTTAGTTTGCTGTTGTAACGTATTTTCGACATCGCCACTCGTCTCCGCTTGCTGCTGACTGTTTTCAAGCTGCGACGTAAAACCCCAGTGCTTGTGATGTCGCGCGACAATATGCTTCATTAAGCTGTTCTTGTATCTTGTTTTGTGAGGACAAAATGCACACTTGAACTTAGGATCAATTCCGCACTCGAAGTCGTGATGCCTTTTCAAATGGTGTTTGTGTTTGTAAGTTTTGCCGCAGGCGCTGCAAGCGTGTTTCAGCTGGTCGTCTGTCGTCTGGACGCAGTTGAAGTTCCCGAGCGATCCGTAGTGCGCAACAACTGAAACAGAACGAGAAGACAGTTAGTAAGGAAGAAAACTAACCTATTTGAGAACCTTGACTGAAATCTGCATTGTCTTTTTTTTTTCTCCATGTAAGATAATAACGAAAACAATAACACGATTGTCTGACAGAGGCCTCCAGGTACGTGAATAACCTTTTTCTCTAGTATCGACGTGATTTATTTTTGCCGCTGTGCCACTTTCGTATATAGATTTGTTTTCACTTAACTATTTAACTCCCAAGCAGCGCGATCGCGCTGTTTAGATTTAATATCGAAAAATCGAACGCTATGGATTAAGATAAGCGCTATCGCGCTGTTCGGTATCTTTCGACAACGTATTTTCAATGAATGAATTTCCTAGAATTCAAACGTTAAATTGCCTTTACATCGATTTCCCAATATTATCGGAAATAAATATAATAATACTACAGAGAAAATGCTCGTACCCTTATATACGTATATAGCAGATAACATAGTGAAAATAGAATTTTACATTTTTTTAAGACACTTATAGTGTGGCATACGCGGATCGATAGTACGTTTTTTGTGTTTCTTCATGTGTATCTGTAAATAACTGTTATACGTAGATTTATATGGACAATAGGAGCATTGCAAAGTCGGTTCTCTTCCGCACTCTTTTCTCAGATGTCTCTTCAGTGTCTTTTCCTGATGATATCGCCTTCCGCATTTATTGCAAAACAAGTAGCCTTGACCGCGCGCTTTTCTCGTGTACTTTGTCCCGCTTTCAATGGATTCATCTGTGGAGTCTGAAATCAGCATTAAAGAAAATCATTTTATTTGACCATTCGAGTAATAAAGTTTAAACAACATTTATACGAATATTTATAATTAAATTAAAAAAAATCTTTCCAAATGCAATTGCAAACAAAAACCAATTAAAAAAATGTCTTCCGGCATTTGGAAAATATTAGTATAGATGATTTTGAGGAAATTTCTTCAGAGCTTTCGGGTGTGTCTAGATAATTTATTTTTAGGCGGTTAAGATTACAGCTTGAAATACATCTCGTGTCGTACATCTAGTACGGACTTTTTATTTGATTCGATGTGGGAAAGAAAATGTAATAGCTGCACGTCGACCTAGAAGAACGGCAGATTCGGATGTCTATGAGTAACGTGCTTGGCTATGCTGGCTCTGTACTTGCTGTAGTGCGGACAGTAAGGACACTTGTGCTTTGGAGCTTTTCCGCACTCTACGATCAAGTGTCGTCGCAATGACCTTTGAACCTTGTACGATCTTCCGCAACGTGGGCACCGGAAGTCGCTTGGTGCGTTGAGTGTGCCTTCCGTTCTCCGTTCTGAAAATGTCCACGGTTCGTTAAAATTTCACGAGCGAGAACTATTATGAGATACAGAGATTTAAGATGAGAGAGACAGAGATAGAGGATCGCGAAATTCTCGTGAAGTTAAGGGACAATAATGCACTTTTGAACAACATAAAGCAATCAAGATAACCCTACAGCGAATAATGATCCAGTGAGGATTATCACAAATTCCATCCAGATTATAGAACGATCGTCATACCAATCTGCAATCGTGAACTTCTTACACGATTGTCAGAAGAGAAAATTTTATCGATTTACGAAATTTCTTTAATGCGCTTCAAATCGAATATATCTTTTATTAATTATCATGGTGATTTAACTTAAATAAGGAATTTTTCTTTGTATATTTTCTTTTTGCTTTTTATAAATACGACAACATACGATTCGTGTTTAGACGAAATTTTACCTATTAAATCGCACCAACGAGAATCCTTGGTTCTAATTCTTGTTTGGTTTCTCTTTTTTTTTTTTACTTCTATGTCGATAGAAGTCAACGCATCAATTAATTGTACAAATTGTCACAATTTTTCGCTTAGGAATTTTTTTTTTTTCTTTTTTTTTCCACACTACACAAACGACGACGAGTTATACACGTCAATCTAGTTTGTTAACGGGCTAAACGAAAACGCAATGTTATCCCTAGCAGAGGAGGATCAGGATCGCATGTCCTATTCCTAATCCCGATCCTCGAATTTCAATGGAAACTCCCGTCGCCACCTTCCAAAGACGAGCCAGTCCCGTTAGGCATGTAGAACTCACTGAGCAGCTTCATGTGTCGACCGTTAAGATGAGTGTTCAAGCTGGACTTGTGCTTCGTCCTGTAAGGACACAGAGGACAATGGAACTTTGGTTCGACGCCACACTCGTGTTTAAGATGTCTGGCAAGGCTCGAGTGGTAGTTGTAGACCTTGCCGCAATTCTTGCACGGATACGTGACTCTCTGGCAGCTGACGAATCCCATCATTCTCGAGTCTGAAAGCATAATCGATCATTCGTACGTTAGACAGATTCGAGAAAGTCGATAACAAAGGAGATCGAAAGGATCTCGAAAAATATTCATCGCCGCTTGTTTTGTACGTGAAATTTGTTTTCTTGGGTGCAATCATACGTTTTTTAGTTACTGACGCCGCCGCTAGTGTCGCTGCTACTGCTCCTCTGCTCCCGTCAGGCTAACTTAACGAAATCAGACTAAAGGAGGATAAATAATAAAATAAATGATAAGAGGAGCGTGAATGCCAACATATACACACATACACACAACGATTATGATTATATGCTTTTAAATAGTGCGCTGAGATAAAATCGCTATGGTGCAGGGTTAAGATAGCCACGATTCATACATCAGATTTCATTTTCATGGACAGACACGTAGTAGGATCATTTTATTATGCCAGATGTTCCTACAATCTTTTTTTTTTCCTTTTAGTTTCGTACGCGATTACACGTGGACTCTCATTATGTGGTATTTGAGGTCAACCGGTCGAGATGTCTTGTACGTACACATTATACAAAAATAAACGGCATTTTTGTCTGGCTTTGTCGACGAAGTCAGGACTGTTCTCGTAGCTCGTCGACGACGACGTGGTTTCTTTGAGCTTTTTTTATTCACGGTAGTAGAAACCACGTCGATCGTTTCCTCCTTCATTCGTTCCAATTTTTCAGATTGTATCTTTAGCGTCGGAGAAGTCCTGAACGTTGAAAATGTCTTCTGGTCAATTTCTTCCTCAGCCACGTTACCGAAGCAGGCGTTGACCTTGATATCCGAAGTTTTCTCGTTCAGGTAATTTGGCTTAACGACGCGATCGAAGTACGAGGAGATCTCGAAGGACGTGCTTTCGCATAAAAGGGCTGGTTTCGTCTCGTCGAATTCAAATTCTATTGGGAATTTATCATCAAGGAAGTCCATTGCCATCTCTGAAACACGTAGGAGATATCTCATCAGTTTTTCTTACTATATGATAATCCTGAACTTGTACGCCCAATTTATTCAATCACTCTTGATAAATTTTCGACCTTTCCTTTTTCCCACGAAAAATCACACACTCATTACAACCCTATTTTGTACTGTCGCAGCCTTTCGTATATCGAATACGAATTTACACGGCCTTGGCTACTTAAAACATGCTTTAGGCACTTGAAGAGTCAACCTCTGTAAATTTACAGAGAGCTTTTATCTTCCCTGTAATAACAGTACTACGTGTATAGTATGATATTGGTGTATCTTTGAAATAGCGACAGCCAGAAGTAGCTTGTGTCACACGCAAACAGAAATATTTTTGACTATGTCTCCAAAGGACAAGAGTATCACCACCCCCTACAAAAACAAGCATGCTACCTTAATTTTATTTCAATCATTTATATCCTCTCCTATAAAGGTCGATGACGAGAATCAAGATAATGAATTAGAAAAATTGATAAAACTTTATAAGCATTAATTTTGTTTAATTCCTTTTACCGTAATGAACCCGGTCAACGTGCCTAAGGAGATTGAGCTTTTTAAAGGCACTACAAGAGCAAAGTGCACAGCATTGCTTCTTCCCATTGTTACAAGGTATACAACGATCTTTAGAAATGTGTTTGCTTGTTTATTTTTGTACCACTTGGACAATGTTGGCTGGTCCTGCCAGTACGCCAAACGACATTGAATTTACCAATATTATCCAAATTCTCAAGTTCCACTTCCTCTTGAATCTTCACTGTGGACATCCGGTCACAAGGATGGACGCAATCTGCAACAAGGGAATACAAATTAGTTACAATACAGAGTAACGTGCAAGACTGAGAACTTTCCTGAAGACTTTATCCGAAGTTTTCATTGTTCGCGCACAAAAGTTCTTAACAAGGACAGAACTCCAGAATAAACAAAGACAATGTTGTACGGCAAAGGGATAACATGATTTGCTATTTAATTTAAAGACTATATACAAAATCGAGATCAATATGACAGTCAATTAGATTATTTGCTTCGCTTGATCCTTATGATGTCTTTATTGATCTTGCAGCTGGTCTTGCTGATCCCGTGTACACCGTTAAGGTGAACCTTCATGTCCCAAATGCGTTTAGAACGATAACTGCAATGACAGCACATTATATTTGCTGTCACGCCGCAGTAACGTCTTCTGTGCGCGGAAAGGTGGCTGCCACTGGTGAATAATTTTCCGCAGGTCGGACACGGATGCGAACCTCCTTCGACCTTTGACCTTAAGCATCTTATCGATGAGATCTTATTCTTATCCAGTAGACCCTCCATCGATATTTCACTGTACTGTAATACGGCCGTGTGAAGTACGATTGGTCCAGATTCTTCCGTGTGATCCCACTGGACTGTAACAGAATTTTGAGTGATCGATCAGAAAAATTGCCGGAAAGAAATCTGAGAAAAAAATTTTTTTTTTATTTTTTCGTAATAAGGAACCATCACTTTTTTTTTTATCAAACTGTATTGTACACTCATGTTAGTATTGCGTAAGGTCTTATACGAATTAATTACATGGCGGATTCTCGTTTTATTCCTACTTCTTAATTTATATACAAAAAATTATTGACTCGTTGCTAGAAAATCTGCATTAATCGTGCTTCCCATTCTACAGTGATGAGTGCGTGTAAAGAGGATGTTATTCTATTGATATGTACAGAGGATTTATTTTGGAAATCAATTTTCGAACATGGCGACACTTAGGTTTACTCCTTGCGCAGTCGGGTCTCTGTCTCAATGATGATTAATACTTACTTCGATTATTACCTATTCGAAGTGTTAGGATTAATATTAGGATGAATTCTCGCGAACACGTGGTTTCGATATCGACGAACAGGTCGATCAGTTCTAACAGCATGAAGTTTCTCGTTTAACATGTAAATTACATTGCACTGTGTTAATTGAAGTTAGCAACATTCTCTCATTATACTTGATACAGGTTTTAATCGTCGTTCTAAAATAAATTACGATAATGTCCGTAACAATAAAATTGCATAATTCTTGTATGCAACGAGTCGGACACTGACTTTGGTTAACGGATAAAAAATTGAATCGCACGGCAAAAATTAAAAAAAAACAATATAGTCTTTCAAGTATGATATAAAATTTAATTGAAAATTGTATTGTACGATAAAATTATTAAGTGAGCAATTTTTCGAATATTAATCAATAAGATGAATTACACTCAAAGCACTTAACATGCTCGATATTTATACCTACGTATTTTCATCAGCGTACTTTTCGCTCGACAGTCTTATGGTCGTTATTGCGTCTGTACAATTGTTGCATGGATATAAAAAATGACGGTGAAGACGTAAGACCAAGGGAAGCGTTTTTGATACGATGAAATATAAATATTTCGCAATATGATTGAACGTGCACTCTATTTGATATTGTGCACCGAGAGCAGGTGTTTGATGAAGCTGGCTTCGATCCTGGACCTGTAAGGGCAGTACTGACAGGAAAAGTGAGTTTCACAGGTGACCATTCCACATCCGGTTTTCAGATGCTTCCGCAGATTCGAGGCCCACGAGTACATCTGGCCGCAACGTGGGCAAACGTGAAGTCTTGGTCTCACTATGGGAAACAGTGGTGTATCTGAAAAAAGTTATGGCAAATTATATTCATTTTATTAATCGATACAGATTCTGTACGATTTTATTTTTTTATTTCAACAAAAGCCGCCTATATCAATTACTGGCTGGGTCTTAACATCGAATCACGATCATGCCAGGATTGATCTAGCGATCGAGATCATGCCACTCGGGGCAAACAGTCATAATGGTTAAAACATCAATTTCACTACAAAATACGTGCAAGTACGTACGATACGATGGCTGACAGTCCTTCGAAGATAACTGGATAATAAATATGATCTTTATCAAAGGAAACAGAGAAATTTGTGTCTGTAATGAATATCGACGCTTTTTTTTTGGTTCACTCAGAAAAAGTGTTTTCTGAAAAATAATTTATTACGCTACAGATCTTCAAGGTTGACATTTCTTTTTTTTTTTCTCTAAAACATTTTTATGTTATGCATACAATTCAAGTGGCGCTTCAAGTTTCCTTTAAAGTTCGATCTGTAATTGCAGTAACTGCAGTAGAAATTCGGCGGTTTGCCACAGGCCATTTTCTTATGTAGACGAAGACTCGAGGACCATACAAATGATCTTCCACAGTAGTGACAGACAAACCTATTACCTGAAACAAAAATTTGAGTGAGTAAGAGGGATTTTTGAAAAAAAATTTTTTCCTTTTCACCTTGATTTAAGAATTGAACTTTTTGTGTATATTATTGGTATTTATTTTTTTTACTGATATAAATAAAAAGTAATTTGCGTTATTCAGTTACTATTTAAATAAATTGTTACGTTAATACTTTACGTAACGATTCATATACTCAAAGGAAAAAATGATGGAAAAGGTAATCTAAGTAAAGTTTTAGTAAGAACTGTATTTTTAGGTATTTTTAACACGTTTTTTTTTTTTCTTTCTTTTTTAATACTTGACGTTACTGCCTTTAATAATTATGTACAATCGGTAACTAGATTATTTGTAAATTATTTAGATTGTCCTTTCAGGATCATCTTAAGTGTATCCTTGCAATATGCTTTTGTAAGCTACTCTTGTATTTCGTCCTATGAGGACAGTAAGGACAGCATTCCTTAGGGTCCATGCCGCATTCGATCTTCAAGTGATTCTTCATATTTCTTAGCCAACGATAAGCCTTGCCGCATTTAGGACATTTGAAATTTCCCGGTCTCCTGTCGAGATTGTGGTTCATCCTTTGTGAACTTCGGAAGTTCACATGTGCACTGGACATATATGCCAGTTTACGATCAGGATAATTCGGCTGACCAAAGCGACCACGGTAATGATATTCGCCAGTCCACGTTGTCAATCCATGTCCTGTAAGCAAGAATATTACTTTTGTAAGAATCCGTTCTCAAATTTTGAAAAAAAAAGAACATTTTATGGCGATTACGAAAATGGAAAAATTGAGAATTCAGTAGATCGGTCAATGAAAGAAGTTTCGCGATATTTTCCAACTGGAATGGTCGGGCAAATTTGTTTGGATTCTGAAAAAAAAAATTTTGGAAATTCATTATTACGTTCATCAATTAATAATTCTTACCGTTAAGACAATAACAGTACCTATAAAATAATGTTTGACTTCAAAGGATTATAATATGTGAAATATGTTATTTTAAGATGATATATTAAAAAAACGCAATCGATTGTGTTTGTACGATAAAATTTGGATAGTTTATTTAAAAAGCAAAAAAATTTCCATGCGAGTCGTACAACGCATGATAAAATTGTCGCGTACGTTCGTTACAAAAAGTCAATTTAATGAACCCTAACCAAGCCACATTATTTTACAATTGAATAACACGTGAAATCAAGAATGATTTCCTAATAGAATTAACAATTACTCGAGACAGTAAAAGCTAGCGAAACGGGACTGTGTAGAAACAGTGGTCTGAGTAAAAAAAAAAAAAGACAAAAAGGGATCCAAAAAAAAACTGGAATAAAATCGAAGAACAAACTTTCCAAGAAAATTACAAAAGAAAACGTTAAACGAACGATTGAAAATAGTCCTAATCGTTAGATTTTTTTTTTTTTACCAATCATTTATTAAATGCTACTCGAGAAGACATTCTTGCCAGGATGGTTGGTACGAATGTGCTGATAAAGATTTCCTCGCTGTTTGGTACGATGAGTGCAGTAAGGACACTTGAATTGCGGTTCCTTGCCGCATTCGTGTCGCGTATGACGTAACAGAGTGGCTCGATGTTGGTATCCCTTGCCGCATTTTTCACAACGATACGGAAACTCGGTGCGCTGTTTCGCCACCAACATAGACGCCAGATTCTTCATCAGCGACATGACCGGGTAACCCCTGTGTATGGTCTTCGGGATCATCAGCGAGGTCAGCGATTCTGCAAGTAAAAAATCAGAGAGGAGCCCTTGTTAACGTGAGAAAAAAATGTTCAGGAATCGTAATTAATTTTTTTTTATTTTTTGAGGGACGCCACGCAAACGGGAAATTTATTTGCGATTTACTGTATCGCGTTTTATTTGAAATACGAGTGTTTCGAAATTTTGAAAAGAATTTCGAAAGACGCGTTAATGTTATCATCCACCCCTACTATGGTGATAACTGTGTCACAGGGGAGACAACGGAAAGCATTTTCTTTTTATCGACACGCTATAAAGAAACTTCGTACGTATTTAAAGCGAAAGCATGCTGTACACGTATATGGTCTAATCTATCGAGGATGTGAAGCGATATGAGTCTAGTTGAAAGAAATTTTTTAAATTCAGAATCCATCATTCGAATTTGAATTCCTTGAATATCGTATAGCGCGCGCGTGTTAAATTCAAGCGCATACAAACAATAGAGCAGCGTCCATAGTCGTGATAAATCTTACAAGCCGAAGCGTCTCTTCATTCGGTAGCATATCTTATGCAACAGATTGACATTCTGGTAACACGTGACAAATTAATACCGAGACAGAGATATCGAATCCTGTTGAAGATTTGAATCTATGCTGTCTGAGTTTGTAAAGATAAAAATTAATAAATCGAACGATCAAAAAATTTCTTCCTGTAACAATTAAAGTACCTGGAAAAAAGAATTTCACAAAAAAAAATCCAAGTGATCAATAATTTTTACGAGATCTTCATCCGTCGCTTCATTCGTACATATGCATGTATGTATACACATATATATCGCCTATTCAACAGTGACGGCAGCAACCTGCCAGGGATACCACCCTTATTTTATTTATTCGTAATATTTGTTTTCTCTTTTTCTTTTTATTCATACACCCTAATTCAGATCGATAACATATACATTCTGTCCTCTGTGGCATCGACGTATGTGCCTGTAAACGTGACCGCGCTGTTTCATTCTGACAGTGCAGTAAGGACACTGGATTTTAGGCTCCTGTCCGCATTCGAATTTCGTGTGTCGTTTCAGGTGCCACGCGTGTATGTAGCTCTTGAAACAACGTGTACACGTGTGCCTCTCAATACCACGCATGCTCGTTCTTCGCCGTCGCATCGTCAGAGGTTTCGTATCTTCGCACTCGAATCTCGTGTCGTCCATAACGACGGCGCAAAGCTCCAGGTCGTCCTCGAATTTGATTGGGGTAGTATCTAAAAAATGAATAATTAAGAGAGTTAGTCAAAAATGGGGTGGGGGACACGAGCAGATTTTACGAAACGACCTAGGTCAAGCCCACTAAGGCATGTCAAAAGGTCACGGATTTCGGGGTG